GAAGGAAAACTACTCACTTAAGATAGAGTATCTCTGCCTTCCTTCGTACACAACCGAATCGACTCGGACGGGCTCCTATCGCGACTGAGCGTTACACGGTGCGCATCGCCATCGTCCTCGTGAGCGAGCACGTCATCGTTCTAATTAATTCCAACGCCCCACGTTCGATTGATCAAGATATAGCGGACGATGCAATTAGCGGCTCTTCCATCGTCGGGGCTGATTGATGCACCGGCGCCTCCGCTTGTTCCATCGACGTGACGCAAAAAGGCGAAACCGATAAGGCGCGTACTGACTTGTGCATTTTTGCGCCAGCGTTCTTAAACCGACGTCAGAAAAGCAACCAAATGTCATGTATGTCAAGTTTATATATGAAAAAGAAGAAAAAAAAGATTGAGAGAAAGATATATATGTGCGTGCAATGGTCGAAATAATTTACTTCGAAAGCAGAGGAAAGAAGATCTTTGAAAGAACAGACCTTTGCAAAGAAAGACTCTCTTGCGAAGAAAAGACCTTTCAGCTTTCCAGGTCAATCGATCGTCATCGGCAAAAACTGCTCCGGAAAGATTAGCCGCGAAGACTGCATTGTTTCCGGAATTACAAGCATGCGCGTCCTTTCATCTCGATAATTAATGGACGTCACATACGCGGGGTCATTTATTTTTCGCGCGCGAGACAAACGGGCAGCGGGAGAAACGCGGCCTCGTTCACACGGGGAACTGCTTAGCACACAAATCTTTTTGATAAACCGACAAGTGGCGGATCATGTTCTTGCGTGCTCAGACGCGAAGCTGCCTTCCTGCGTTAAGTCGCGCATACCAAAATGACTAGAGCGTTTCTGTGCGCGAGAGAACCACTCGTGTGTGCGCGAAAATATCCGATTCAGCACATGAATACATACGTCAAAGAGATGAGTGGAGAGAGAGAGAGAGAGAGAAAAAAAATCAGATATTTCTTACTTTAGCAACAAAAGTACCGGTACTTGAGCGACCACGCGGGATTCTAGCATACACATTGAATTGTAAGTTAATTTTCAATTGATCAAAAAAAAAAGTAAACGAGAATTATTCGGTGTGATTCTAAGAACGTCAAAAGGATAGAGACGAATGGCAAACGAGTATTCTTTTTTTTTTTTCTACGCGGAGATCCATAGATTTTAACGAAGATATATATGACAAAAGAGAGAAGGAGATTAATTTCGTAGCAATTTAAAATTTTCGATGCTGCAAGCATGTCGAGCTTATTATTGTAGCTGAACACAGCTTCTCTAAGGCGTGGTCCGGTTGCATTCGTAATCCGATAAAGATTTCCAAAGCACGTTTCCGAACCTAATGAATCCATGTTATATGTTAATAAGTAACTGGCTTTAGATGGACGTTAAAGGATTTAGCCATAATTAAATTGATTTACACGAGTTAAACTCCCTGTCGCATTTTCCTCAACGTCATCCCTGAGCATCGTCCATTGTAATCCTTCGTAGCTTTAATTTATCTTTCGAACGCATTCTCCTGGCATCGATCCCGTCGTAGACTCTCGAATCAACTCGCTTTGCAATTGGAATTATTTTTGGCGCATGAACAACATCGGCGATTTGTCGCAGGTGTGCCTCGCGTTTCGACGCGCACATGGCGTTTCTCTTAATTCAAGCTCGCATTAAAAAAGCTCGATTAAAAAAGGATCGCGAACGTGACACGCTTATAAATAAAACGAAAAACTCGTCGTATAGAGAGATCGATGAAATACATTTCGAGATAATCGAGAAGTAATCGCTAAAAATTAATATCCTTTAACAAATTTTAGCATGATCCGTGCGGCTCCTTCCCTCTTTCCAGAGATTCTCGATAACGACGCGGATTCTAATTCCGTGAAAAATTGGCGGACCCGTCGAATGGCAAGGAAAAATCGATAGAGCTTAAATTATCTTCTCCACTTGGCGCGCCGAGTACTTTAATTATCAAACGCATCTACGCGCGCCGCGTAATTTCATTCGATATCAGCGAATCGTATTATTACACCATTCGCTTATACCGGTACGGTGGTATCCTCGACTGGTGGTATCTGGCGAAATGTAATTTGCCGGAGAGCGTCCCAAAGTCGTAACGTCATTAGCCACGGTACGGCTCTTTTCTGGTATTCGTGGCCCACGGGCGCGATCCAAATATCTGAATCTTGTATATAGCGCGTGCGTGCACCCTTTTACTTTTCCGAAAGTTTGGGATGCGTTTCGCTCTATATGATATTGCAACGATCGTCGCATGCATCTCCGATAACGCTATTTAGACGGCGCGAAGGAGACACGTGAATAAACTCGGTCCCCTTTTTTTTAAGAGGCAATTTGCTCCCGACAGCGAAGCTCTAACTTATGTCACCTAGTTGCGTTTAAGCGCGTGACCTGGAACGGTAATGCGAAAACTGGGAGAGGAAATCTCGGAGCACTTTTTTCCCCAGCCACGCAGGAAAGCGATAATATTCGGCGGAGACGCTGTTAATATTTTCTCTCGCCGAGAGAGTATATTTATGCTCCCTTTTTCTCGATGCCGTTTCGTCCCGGGGAGGAGACAGTCGTCGCTATCGTTATCACGACTGCCTGCGCGGTTGGTGGACCGCCGTGATGAAGGTGTTCTCGCCGCACGTACGCACTGTATTTAACGCTCGGCGATGCCTGTTCCAGATATCTTAATTTACGACGGAGAAGTGAGAAGGAATACGCGATCAATTGTTGCAACTGGCGTATCCGTTCTTGCGTAGTTCTTTATCGTTTTAGTCTCTTACGATGCAGATTTTTTAAACACGTTACGTTATATAAATGCGTAAGATAATTCGAGATATCGCGCACGTGTTGCATTTGTTAGATAGGATGTTGCAGAAATTAAGAGCATATTCTCTCATCGTAAGAATGAAAAAAAAGGATAAATTATATTAATTATAAAAAATGTTTCTAACAGAAAAAATATTAGAATATGTTGCTAAACACCCTATATTATTACACATTTAAATCGACAAAATAGCATTCAGGCATTTTACTTTTAATTATTGATTGTATTTAATTTGAAGGATCTAAATTCGTTTCTTTCTTCTTTCACTTTTGCTGCCTCTCTCTATCTCTCTCTCTCAGCTATCAAAAATTTAAATTGCATAACATTTGCGTTCCCGTTTTCCATGCGATAGGAATTACACGGTAAATTATTCCGCGTATCTTTTCGCGTTTCCTTCCCTCTTTCTTTTGTCTTCCTCTCGAGTTGCCGTCATCGTTACTTAACACCCATGCGACCGCAATCGCAAATCTGAGAAAATAATCAGAAGGCGCAGCGAAGCACGTTCTTTTTTTCTTTTTACCGGCGACAAAAGAATTGCTCCTCTCTTATTTTTTCTTCGGGAAAAATAAACTAAAATCACGAGCGATAATCGCGGTAGCCATAGCAGCAGCACAAGAACGCAAAGTCGGATCAATGTAAAAAAGAATTCAAGAGAGATGTCGAACGCGCACATTTTTTTTCTTTTTGCCTTAATATAGTCGGCATATACGTATATTATAGCTGAATTTCATATCTACTCTACATGCATGCGTATAATGTAGATTCGACTATCGTCGAATGTGCTATCGATCACGGCAAAAAACGACCGTATAAATTTGCGAGATGCATTACTTCTTTATGTCAACAGACGAAAGAAAATTTTTCGCTAATATCTCCGATATTGGAGTAATATCGAGACCAAATATACATGGGAAGCGGAAAAATCTCCATGTTAATATTAATTCTCTGTCGCGTTTATTGATGCCTGACAGCGTGACGTTTGTAATTTTACAATCGGAATCGGGAATTTTGTCGGGGTTTGTGATTGAGGACGATAACTCTTTTTCTTCTTTTTTTTTTTTATAAAACAAACGTGTTTATTTTCATGGTTCTTTGCTGAAATGGAAAGTTGCAATTAATTTAATACGTATTTAACAGATTGTGAATATATAATGCGCGTGATTCCGATGTGAGCGTATTTACAACAATACAATATTAATTAGAATTATACACTCCTAAACGCGCGATTATAGCTGAGACTTATTCACGACCAGTAACGTTACGCAGTGCTGGTCTTCGGGATGTGTGTATGTGTGTGTGTGTGTGTGTTATGTGTATATGTATGTAAATGTGTACTCGGAAATGTGCACGAGTATTTACAAAATTAGATACAATATTTACAAAGAGTTCACTTACGGACTAATAAGCGTTATGCGCGACCGTTACTTTATCAAGACAGTCGTGAATCTTTTTTAGGAACAAACTCTCACGAGGCGTCTGTCTGTTTTCTCGCTGTCATTTGACACTTGACGATATTTCGCTGTCAATCCCAATCGCGAACGATTGACGAACAAACGACGAAAGTTTGGATATTATATAAGGATGATGCGCCTCGGAACGGTTCCAAAAAAGGTGTCGGAGTGTGCGCGAGGAACTTTATCGTAAAATTTTGAGTCCTATATATAGTATGAGAGAAAATATAGTATTTTCGTAACACACGCGTGCGCTGCTATATCTTCACACATTTTAACCGTTGAAAATTATTATATTCGACAATATGTTTCGGGTACGTTTTACGTTTCGAAATCTACCATGTAAACATGATTTCCTTGATATTTCGATGCCCGTTTAAAAACCAAATGGATGACCCGAAGGGCAAAAAATACAATACTCGTACATATTGTACGTATCGCTTCTCTCTCGCGTGTAATGTTATTCGAGCATCGAAAAAAAAAAAATACAAATAAATATTCGCAATTAAGTTGTCAAACGCATATAATACGGTTATATCGCTAATAAAGTAATACTACAAGGTATCACGTGTAGGATATAAAATAAATGCGTCCGTTCAAGCGTATTTGAAATAAATATTTATATATAAAGGAAACATTTTTCAATCTCCCTTCCCCTTTATCCTTTGTAATATCGTATATTGTAAATCGGTTATTGTTGTTGCAATCGCTTCGCTGCATTCGAACATTGAAAAAGATGCTTTACGAAACCAAAAGAAAATAATTAATATCCGCAAAATGATCGCGTTGCGCGCATCAGCTGCCGATTACATTCAGTTACCATCATTATCATCGTTATTCGGGTATATATGTACACGCAAATTTATGAGTATTTGTGCAAGCCACAACAAATAATCCTATTGATGGCTTTACTGACAGTTATGCCAATTAATGCAAATCGAAGCGGCACGATTCCAAACGAAATAACTCGCTTGCGAAAGGGAGATCGAATGGTAAAACGTTTAAATCAGAAATACATCGATCTCGCGATGAAACAACGGTTAAAATTCTCTCGATCGCGACCCACTTTCCGGGAGCTCTCGACGATTTGTCATGATTCGACGAAATAAATTAATCAACGAAGAGGAGAATAGCGCGGCGAAGAGGATTCGCCGGAAAGTATCGGAGAGATAGAGACAGATATACATATGTACACAAGTAAATTAATAGTCGAGTCTTAATTATATATATATATATATATATATATATATATATATATACGCGCGATGTCCCGCTCGTACATAAGTTAAAGGAAAAGAGAAGAAAAAAAGTGTATAGAATCTAGATTCTCACTGATATCGCGTCATTATTTACAAAACTTAAACGAGAGAAAAGCAAACCGCGTCGTCGGAACTTACATTTTCCGAGTAAGTTCGAAACGTGGTAAGTATTTGATCGTGACTTGGAAGAACGTTTGCGCAACGAGATATGAAAAAGTAGATACCGCGCGAGAATGGAATGAAGAGCGAGACCTCGTCGCGGATGTGTCTTGCGTCTCTCGTCTTTCGAAAAGAAAAGGTCACAAGCGTATTAAGTCTAGTTCGTCGTACATCGATAATAAGCGCGCAAGGCATCGAATCGATTTCGTTTTTACGTATATAATGCTACATCGCGCGTTCGGATCACCCTCGTTTGATCCCGGGAAACTTGATTTTTTTTTTCTTCGCCGTTGTCAGAGTAACCGGAAATACGCTGTACAAGTTCGACCAACTCTCTCTTCTCGCGCAAGAAGAAGGAGAAGAAAACTCGCGACACGGCCGGGCGATCGCGCACCTCAGCAGGATTACCGGAAACGAATAGAAGAGACCGAAAGATAGTATGGGAGAGAAAGAGAATCGGTCTATCTCCTGCTGGATCGGAGCACGATCGCCGCCCTTCTGCGCTAGACGAAGTAAGTACGCGGATTGCCTGGATGCGCCGGGGCGAGGGCCTCTCCTGGCGGCGCGGTCGGCACCACCGGTGGCTCCGGGATGGTGCTGTAGAGATGGCTGCTCCTGGAGAAGAGGCTGGCCGGCCTGCCGTTGCCGGCGTGCAGCGTGCTGTAGCCGTGCTGATGATGCGGGTGGTGATGCTGATGCTGATGGTGCTCCGCGCCGCTGTCCTCGTCCTCGGTGCGGCTCGACGCCGAGCTGACGTAGGTGGACTGCGTGGGAGTCGGCGTGGGCGCGTGATGCACCGGTGCGACCAGGACGCCGTTCGGCTTGGTCCACACGTCCACGGCGACGGACGGCGCCGCGGTGTATCGCGTCGGCGTGCGATTACGGTCGTTGACCTTCTTGCTGTCGCGCTGCCGCTTGTCGACCGAGTCCGGCATGGCGAATCTAAGCTTCTCCCAGAACCTCTTCTCGCCCCAGACCACGACGGTGCACGTCTGTAGCAGCAGCTGCAGCTCCGGGTCCCGAGTCGGCGTCTCGGTCGCCAGCAGGAGGAGAACGCGACGTTTCCGCGAGGCCGGCCTGATGTTCTCCAACACGGTGCGCAAGGCGGCGCGAAACTCGACGTGCTGCCACTCGTTCGCCAGGAAGACCGGCGAGAAGATGATGACGATGCGCCTAGCGGCCGCCGCGGCCGGTGGCAGCGCTTCCTGCGGTCTGGCCGGTGGCAGGTCGCGCCAGTGAAGGCAGAGCGCTAGGCCTGCCTGCTCGAGCTCGGCCGCGAGGAATCTGGAGACAAAGTCCTCGTCGCGCTCGCTGTAGATGAAGTATCCGTCGTACAGTCGGTCCCTCTCCTCGTCGGGCGGCGCCGCCATCTTGCCGAGTCGTAAACCGTAACGCGCGTGGGCCCAGAGACGTACGTCCTGACGAAAGACGAAGGCCAGGGCGATGAATAGGCAAATGGCGATCACGGCTACCAGCGCGCCGGCCAGCAACGGCACAAAGTTGCTGCCCAACAGCGGGATCTCCTGGATACCTCGACTTACGGCCTCCGTCGAGGGATCGCCGCATCGCACCATGGCCTGGGCGAGGGTCTCGACGCCGTCGCGACAGTACATCTTCTCCGGGTCGCCGCGATGCTCCGCGAGCCAGACGCGTAATCGGGCCGCGTTCCCGCACTCGCAGCTCCAGGCGTTGCCTTCGAGCGCGATCCTGGTGCCGCCGCCGACGCTCGGTAGGGCTTCCCACGGTCGGAAATCGACGATACGATTGCCGTCGAGTCGTAGCACCACGAGGTTATGCATCTTCTTAAAGGTAGTGTTGCCCACAGTGGCGATGGCGTTGTGATCCAGATACAATTCCGACATGTGATCGAGCTGGTCGAACTCAAAGCCACGTAGTTCCCGTAACGCGTTGTCCTCGAGGTGAAGAACGCGCAGTTGTTCGACGCCGTTGAACGTACGATTGTGTATCGCCGCGATACCGCTGTTGTTAAGATACAGTACCTCCAGACGACGTTTCCCGATGAATACATGGCTGCCGAGATCGCCGAGCTCGTTACCGTCCAGATAAATCTCCGTCGCGTCCATGGGTAATCGTTCGGGCACGTGTTTGTATCCGGCGTTGGAGCAATCGACGACGTTGCTAGACCAGCTATGATCGTGATAGCAGGAACAATTATCCGGACAGGTCATCTCGCAGTCGCACGCGTCGAAGTCGCAGCAATGGCAGAGGGCGAAGCAGTGCGCGTCGTATCGGCAGAGAAGATCCTTGGGCTTCAGGGAAAGCAGCGGACGTCGCGGAGTGGCGCGTGCGTGCACCATCTCGCACGTGACAGCGTCCAGGTCCATGACGCGCGGATGCTGACGCGGCCGGGTCATCTCGTTGATCCGCGGCAACCATTCCATGCTGCAGTCGCAGAGGATGGGATTGTTGCCGATGTAGAACGCGGGTAGTTCCTGCTCGTCCGGCACCGTTTGCAGAGTGAGGGCGCCAATCTCCAGTCTCCTGATCTCGTTCCCGTACAGAACCACCTTCTCTAGATTCGGTTTCTGCTGAAACGTCCCGGGCGCGACGCTCTTTATACGGTTGTCGTTCAGGAACAGCGTCTCCACGCTGTCGGGCACGTTCGCCTCCGTGATGGCGGTGATGCGATTGTAGCTCGCGTCCAGCATTTTTATTCGCATGGTGTTGCGCAACACGTAGAAATCCCCTAGCTCCTTTATCTCATTGGCGTGTATATCCAGCCACTCTATGCTGGTAGGTAGTTGACTGTAGTCGAACCACATCAAGTTATTATCGGACACGTTCAGCCAGACGAGAGTCGAGAGACTCGTGAAGACGCCGCGGATATCCGTCAATTTGTTCCCGTCGAGTCTTATCGCCCGCAACACCGGATTAGCCGAGAAAGCGCTCTGTTCCACGTGACGGATAACATTGTTCGCCAGATTGAGCACTTGCAATGCCGGTAAAGACGCGAACGCCTCCCGCGACACATTCTCCAGCTTGTTGTCCACCAATCGCAATCCGTAGAGTTCGTTCAAGCCGGCAAACGAGTCATTGTCTATCCTCAACACCTGATTGTTGCCGAGATCGAGGGTCTTGAGCGATCTGAGCACGCGAACCGCGTAGGGAATCTCCGCCAAAGCGTTCCCGCTCAGAGAGAGATCCTGAAGATCCGTGAGATTAGCGAACACATGTCTGTGCAGGCCGCGCAGCCTGTTGCTGTCCAGGAAGAGTTGTTGAAGCGCGCCGAGACCGAGCGTGTGCACCGGTTCGAATCTGATGATCTTGTTGTGAGACAACGTCAGGGTATGCAAGTTGACGAGCGAGGCGAAGCAGCCGTCGAGCAGCGTATCGATATTGTTGTGCTCGAGCTTGAGAATCTGCAGATTGGTCAGATGTCTGAAGACGTTCAGATCGATCCTCGTGAGGGCGTTGAACGACAAGTCGAGATTCACGAGACGAATCAATCGCGAGAAGGTCTCCCGATTCACCCAGTGGCTGGTCAGCTCGTTTCCGCTGAGGTCCAAATCGTGAAGCTGCTCGAGGCTGTCCAGCAAGCCGGGCGCCAGTAACGTGAGAGAGTTATTACTGAGAATCAGTTCCCTCAGCTCCTTCGTTTTCGCGAACAATTCCGGTGGCAGGGCGACGAGTCGGTTGCTGGACATGTTGAGGACCCGGAGGGACGCGAGACCGTGAAGAGCGTGATCGCCCACGGAGGCGATCGCGTTATCCTGTATCCTCAGGACGCTCAGGCTACGCAGGCCGCTGAACGCGTGATCGGGCAAGGCACTGAGGTCGTTATTACCGATGTCGAGGATCTCGAGATTGAAGGTGCAGGATCGATCGGAGATGCCCAGGGACTTGACGTCCTGTAACTTGTTGCGCGTTAGATTCAGCCTCGCGAGACTCTGCTGGACCGGGCAGAATAGCTCCGACGGCAGCGTCCACAGATTATTGTCGGCGAGATCGAGATGCTGCAGGCTCGTCAGACCGCGGAGCGCATCCCGATGCAGATCCAACGTCGACAGGTCGCCGTTGCGCGTCAACCGCAGAGATAGACCGCGGAGATTGTGCACCGACGCGAACACGCCGCCCGGCAGATACCGGATGTTGCAGTAATCGACGCGCAGCCTCGCGAGACGCGGCAACGACGGCAGGAAGCCGTCCGGTTGGTCCTCGTCGAGCTGACCCTCCAAGTACGACTCGTCGCTGCATTCTAATCCCAGGGACGTGATCGAGTCCGCTTGGATCGCCGAGAGATTGCCGATGAGACCGGCCACATCCGCGATCGTTCTTACTCGACAGGTCAGATCCTGCTCCCCGTCCTCGCCGTCGTCCTTTCTCCACTCGCAGCCGCTTGGCGCCTCGAGGCTCGTGATGCTGCGTCCGTGTACCGTGCGACGATCCAGCAACGTGCACAGGACGACGACGATGACGATCGTCGTCGACGTTACAACGCGACGGCTATCCATCCCGAATCGCGCACCTGTGGCCGCTGTGGGAGATAGTCGCTCTAGTACGTAGACCCTCGTATCGTCACGCACTCATAGCCCACTAGTCACTCTGTACTATAGACTTGAACCGTCGTTTTTGCACTTCGGTCGTAGATAAAGAACCAAAAATTCAAAACACTACCGTTCACACCGTTGACACTGACGACGCGACGATCCGCGACTTTGTCGTCCGCTCGCGCGAATCGATCAGACACCGATCGCTCATTCCTTAACGCGAGCGATCCGCCACAATAAACGATGAACAAAGATCAAACTCGATGGATTAATCCTATATAGCGTGTCGTTTACCAACGATGCGAATTTTACGCGCGACGACCCGGGCGACGACGGCGACGACGACGACGACGACGATTGCTACAGCCCGGGGAGAACGACATTCCACCGCGGCGGTCGGAGTGCAACTGAGTTGGAGCCGTTCTATCGACGATCACGGAGTACCCCGCATAACTAGCGGCATGCGGCTCCCCACCATCATCCCTTTGCTCCCACTATTCGCAACCCCCACACGCTTCTTCTCTTCAATCGGCACCGAGAGACCATAGAGACAGAGACGGCGGCGCTTCTCTCGGCGAACGTTGCATGCCACAGGCGGCTGCCTGACCCGAAGATGCAACAAACCAGCTGACTGACAACGCTACTTACTAGGTAAACATTAAACTAGTTCCTAGACGCACCGCCACGCATTTATCAAGCCGCCTCTCTCTCTCTCTCTCTCTATCCCCGAAGAACGAGTATTCATTCCTCCCCAGGCGAGGATGATTCGACCCTCGAGCGAGCACTGTCCTCATCCTCCGTCTAATAGGCAACCCTGCAGTCCCACGGCAACTGTCGGCCAACTTTTTACAGAATAAACACTCGCTCTTCCCGCGAGTGATGATTCGTTATTTTTTTATTTTATTTTATTTTTTTTTCTTTCTTTCTTTACCGTTCCGTGGGTTGAATCTTCAACAGACTCGCTTTCGCAGCGATCCCGTGAGCATTCAAGATCGCTGCGCGACGTTGTTGCATGGGAGAGAAGGATTTGTTGCGAGCCTTGTTGCGCGAACGTGAGCGGGTTACTTTCCGCAAGAAAGTTTCGCAACAGATATATACGGGTATTTTTTGGAGCAAGTTTGCAGCTTTGGACACGCGTGAGCACACTTGCTTACGCATACACCGCTCGTGATTACATTCGCTCCGCGAATGGATCGATAATATCGGCGACCGAATCCGCGACTAATATCGAAACTTGCTTTACAAGTTATTAATTAGTACATTCGCGATGGATGAGTTGGATGGATCGATATCGGCCAACGAGTTTCAGAACTAACGTTTCATAATTGCTACATTTTCCCTCATTAAAGTTTAGCCGAAGCTATTTTAAACATAATAGCCTTGCAACTTTTATGCTGTATTCGAAAAAAGAGAAAAGAAAATTAGTTGCATACTTATACATATATATGGAAACACGGTCCCTATCAAAGGCTACCTTCAAAAGTGAGTGAGACTTTTGCCGCCATCTGCGTTTTAGCTAGTGAACTGAAACAAGGTGGCTTTCAGCTAATGAATAGTACTTTTACCTACGCTTTGCGCGTTTTAAAGATTAGATGTGTATACGATAGCGAGAGAAAGAGAAAATTCTCAAGCAACTTTATGTCTTGTATTAATTTGTACAACATATTTTTTGAATATTCTATTACTTTGATGTGAATCTAATATATTCACAAATATAAAAATGTGTAAATATAAATTTATTTATTTATTAATAAACTTTGAGAAAAAATATATTATATTTTTCAATATAGTAAATGCTTTAAAATGTAATTTCTTTTGAATCTTATTCTTTCTTTTGTTTCTATACATTTTTTATAATTCCTAGGGTTTTTACAATTTTAATTTCTCAAATTTTCAATCTCAATATTTAACCCATTAGATTTTAAATTTAATATATTTGGATTTTTAAATATGTATGGCCGCGCGAGAGTAGTAAAACAACAAAAAAAACTGGTATATTTTTAAAATAATACTTATAACAGCAGTAGGAGATGTGGTATGAATATTAATTCTCTAAATAATAATAACAACATATATTTCCCTTTTTCATAAAAGAAAACTATTAATTTATGAATCCCAATAACAGTGTTTTATCTGGATTAAAAATCCAGTGCGCCTGCGGATTAAAAAAAAATAGTTAATTAAAGGATTAATATTCACGTGCGAGAGCGTGATACTAATTGCATATTCCTGAACGCGTCCAACTTTTCCTTCAACTTATATCCTGAGCGACGGCTCTTCATCTGTCGCGGCTGTAAGAGTGTATGAGATGATGAATCACGCGGGTATATACTAGATGCGAACGTATACGGGATTATAAATTCGAAGTCGTACACTGGTGCGCGCGCGTATATACTCCGCGATGACGGATGGAAGCATTCATGGATTTAAACATACGGGGTTTCCACACTTCATTATGTATTTACGGCTTGTCAGCGTGATATCATTCCCTCGTCACTCCTACGGAGGACTAAAACCGCGCACCTCGCATCGCAATTGGAATACTTTATCAGTGTGACTAAGCGTGTACTCTAACGGGGTTTCTTTTTCTCTCTCTCCAATTTCTCCACTACGTGCTACTATTTTCGTTTAGCGTGATTCAGGTATGAGCGGTTTCTTTGACTCACTCGAGTCTTTATATCGATTTCTATGTGAAACTCACTTTGCAAGATTAGAGGTTTTTTTTTCTCTTTCTCCGAATGTGAAGCAGCAATATTCATGTACATTAAAAGCGTATTACGTTAAACAAAATAAAACTCGTGTAGCAATGCGAGAAAAAAATCATAGTAAATGCCGCGTAAATGAATTTCTCTCTTTCCCTTCTCGTGGAAATATCGGAGAAATAATTTAGACGATAGATGACAGAGTCTTTGAGTTATCCGCGAAAGAATGAAAGATCTAAATAACCACGTAGAGAGAATTCGGGAGAGAAGTCTTTCTTCTCGTTTCACAGCAACGTGCGTACTATCTGTTGAAATTTATGCTCGCATTAGTTCTCCACGTGCACGGCCGGATCTTTGAATGGGCTGTGTTCTCTTATTTGAATGAGCGTTTTTTTTTCTCTCGCGAGAATCCATTTCGCAGGAATGTCGGCATCGCTCTTGAATGACCGAAAAGTCGATATTTTCGGCGGAAAAATCCAGCGGCCTCTGCGGTGAACCCTATTAAACAATACATAAATTATTACCTTTTATCACTCTTGCCGAGATGAAAAATATATTGTATATTATACAATGTAATACAATGTAGGTCAACGTAAGCGAATTAACTTTGCACGGAAAAAAAAAACCAGTCGCGCGTTTGCGTAATTTATTTAATACGTAGGAAATTGGGGTCGAGAGAAGAACTTCCTCTTTGAAAGTATTTCGCTTTGATCGTCCGAACGTTCAAACAGTAGAGATGTACGGCCTATTCACGAAATATCTCCAGTTTTCCTCGACAAAGGCTTTTTCCAAAAACTCCCTTGAAAGAGCGGAGGAGAAGAAAATTTCCCTTCATCTGCGCGAGAACAACCGGAAGCACTTAAAGCCGATAATCGAATCCGCGAAGAAGGGTATATTTAAAAATGCAAAGAGCTTAGAAAAAAGTCTGTTTCGGGTGGCATCGATCCGGACGTCGCGTCGCCCACACTTTCACTCGTGGAGGTCAGCTGAGAGGTTAACGACGAAAAGTGTATCGCGTCACGTCACGAGACGCATTAGCATATATATACTCGCAACGCGAAGGGCGCGTCGGAGAAGGCCAGCAGCGCTCTCGGACGAACACAGGTATGACCGGACGTACATGTATACGAAACGGACGGTGAGGGAGAGGTGCCTCTCTCGAAGAAGTTGACGTTTCTCGTGCATGCATCGTAGGCCGGTGTTTCGCAGGCGGAGCTTTTGAGCTGGAAAGACCGCCTGCAGACCGCCCCTGTGTGCGTTTCGTTTCATCGTCGTAAATGTGGCGTGCAGGAGAGTCTGCGAATAAACGCTCCTCTGTATGTATGTGTGTGTGTGTGTGTATGCATGGATGGCAGTTGTGTGACGATATGCCGGAGACGCAGCATCCGCCCGGTTGCGGCAAAAGTCGATGCCGATTTCTCGATCTCTTTTTCGCGAGCAAAGTGCGACAGATTATTTCCTAAAACGCGTTGGGGTGAATCACGAGAATGGCAGGAAATATTGGTGCGCGATTGGTAACGCGATATAGATCCCGCGCGAGTTCGAGTCGCGAAACTCTCTGGCGTGACTCCAAGAATACCAATGCTCCGAGACATTGGGATATCCCGCGAAAAGCGGTCGGTTAAAAATATTGCAGCTTAGGAAGAAGGTGTATATGGATGTAGACCATTGTCGAGCGAGTGTCGGGAAAATACGATTCTACAGAAAAGATATAGAAGCGTTTAATTCCGTTGATTAAGTCTTCGCGGAAATTCCAATATCCTTCGGTTACATTATAATTTCATTCTGAAAATATTGATTCTTGTATCCGTTCTTTTAATTCAATTAATTATATCGAAAGTGTAGTCGTTACGTTTTCTATATTTTATATATTTACTTGAATTGTTCGCATTAAATTATCTACATAAATTATTCGTCGCACAAAGAGACGTGGAATTTTAAATTCAAGTAACGTTTATAATTAGTTTATGAATTAAATTATTATATAATATATATATATATATATATATATATATATATATAATAATTTAATTCATAAACTAATATAAACGTATATATATATATATATATATATATATATATGGAAAGATGTAATATATATGGAATGGATGAAAGCAGAGAGAGAAAAAGAGATAAATTGTTTTTGATAATTACCATTATCATAACTATAATTGTATTCTTGATTTATGAACTTCATAATCAATCAATCAATCATGTCACGCGAAAATCAATGTAAATGCATCGCGCGTGACGTATGAAATATTTTTTACCTTAAGGCGAGAGTCGCCTAAACCATTTTTCAGAGCCGGCGCTCATTTCATTGCATAATCCATCGTTCTAGACGTTATCTCGATGAAGTTCTCGTGTCTGCTTCTACACTCCATGTTCTTTCTCGTCCAATCTTATTATGACATTCGAAACACAATGTAGTCTTACGCAATGCGAAATATCGGCAACCGAGACATTGGAATGTTCGATTGGGAAACCAGCTGCAAATATAAGATCTCTCTTCGGGGCAAACGCGAAGTTGTAGTCGGATATTGGTAACTGAATCTTCTCCAACGCTAGGTATATAATGAGATCACGGCCACAGAACGCGAAGGCATCTCGAAGGTATTATGAATTGATTTTCAAGACCGCCCACGGCGACTTTCCGCCAATCGATTGCAAGATTCGCCGCGAGTTTCGGAATGTTCCGGGATATTTGAAAATTTCAGATAATCTTGGAAATTC